CAACAACAAATAATTTTAGCAACAACCTTAACACTACCAAATACCTCTTAACCAAGTTGATTTTTGACAGCCTCGAAAAATATAGACTAGTGATCAGAACGGGGGACGAGTGGCGTAGTGGTATGAGGCGCCGCTATGACCAGATCGGACACAGGTTCGATCCCCGTCCTGGGCCAACCAAGCCCTCTACCCTCCGGGGCCGGTAAATTGGTACCAGAGTAATCCGAGGGGATAAAAACACTAACTTGGTAAACGGCTGGCACCCGCAAGTCACTGTATTAGGCTCGCACGCATGCATTTGCCTTTTCGACCATGAAGAAGTGTGCGTTCGGCGCATGCCCGCAGAGGGTATTAAAGACGCCGAATCCTTTATCCTTATCCTAGTGATCAGTTGTTTGCCATTTACTTTAATAATATATCAAATTTGTAATTAATATATTGGCAATATTGTTTGTCCAACGTTAAGCTCCGTACTAGTTGGAATCCTTCATTATATCAAATCGACAAATTTCAGTTCGAATATTTGACATAGCGGTACAAAATAGTCGATTAATTGGAGACTCTTCGCTCTGAGAACATTCGATATTCGATCTTTCGACATTTTTTTTCGAATTGGAAGATTCAATCTTCGATTATTCGATATATCTCGTTCCAGTGAAAAAGCGATAATCGGATGTCGTTTATTTACTTTGGTTATCATTAGGAATTCTATTATTCGATATTTTTAGTCCAATATATTCGGTGTTCGATTATTGAAAAAAAAACATACTTCTATAGTATAGTCTGTACATTGTACGCGCAAACAACGACACCCTTACTAGTAACACCTCATTACATTTACTAGCGTAACGAATTGTATATGTTCTTTAAACTAACACATTCCAATCAAATATAAAAAGACGAAACAAAGAGAATTCACTGAAAATAAGCAGATTTTCATCTTACAAGTCGTCAAGTAGCGCATTTGTTGTGCAAAAACTAAACAAGAAAAATGAACAACTTTGCGTACTTAGTGATTGAGAATCTCTACAAACATTTCATCTGTCAGTAAAACTGTGACCGCCGATCGCAACAACTTTGCAGGAGTCTAGATCGCGGATTTACTATTTTAACCCCCAAGTGAGTAAAGCCCCAACAAGAAACAAACTACGTGTTCTCAAAAAGATTCGATATATATGTCTCAAAAGCAATCCGGATACGATAATGGAAGTATAGTGACGTTATAGGAGAAGCTTCACATGTACAAGCTCGACCCAAAGTCGAGGTGCAAAAATTGCATGAAGGGTTAGCTGAACGGAATCGCATTGCAGACTTATAGTTAGCAGGGAGACAACAGATACTAAGTATATACGACCAACAGGACTCAAATGGGTGCTGATATACGAAAAAGCTTCAGTCATGAATCATATGGTAATTTCTCAAAAGGATACTGCACCATGTTTATTTGAGAGTGTGCAAGAAGGCATTTTACATATGTTATCGTAGCCAATCTGCCTATGAAAATACTGCTTTCGCTACCAAATACTAGCAAATACTAACAATAATAATAATACTAATAAAAAGTCCAAAGAATTTCGTTGGAGAGCATTTTTCCAGATGCTCGTATGCATTATCAATTTACCAGCTGCTGAAGATGCATTTGATGATGTAGATGCGAGAAGTTACTCAGACAATTGCATCGGAAAGTTCGCGGCCTTTGAGCGTGTTACATGGCGCGCCGCGGCCTCTAAAATTTCAGCCGCACACGCCGCGGCCCATGTAAATTTTACCGGGAACGCCGCGGCCAAAGTTGAATTTGGGAAGAGGTTATCGGGAGAGTCGCGGCCCAATCACCTCATTCGGCGAGCCGCGGGTCTTATCAAAGGCCGTACTTCTTACACGCTGTAGGTTGAGGCGCAAGCCGCGTGGGGTACGCTGCAGTGATGGGGCTACCCTCAGTGTTTGTAAGGGTCGGTAATCGCTTCTCGCTTTGGTCCTGCCTGACAGTTGAGTTTTTATGCTTACGAAACAAACTTCAGCAGTCGGATGAGTGTTATCGACGACATTAGATGATGTCGACAGATGAGCTAACAAGTTGCTCAATTTGCATTCAAGTCGTTGTCATGCAAGACAGGCCAAAAGATTTTTCACTCTTCCTAGGCCTCACAAGCATGCCAATCGGGTCATCTATCGGGCGCTTACAGGATGCTCCGCGGTCACTTATCGGGTCCAATATCGGTTTATACCGGGCAGCTCGCGGCATGGATGATTGGTGGCCGAGCAAGCACCCGCGAATTTCCCGATGCAGTTGTCTGAGTAGACGATGGATGAGTAGACAACACAATCTCCTATGACTCCTCCTTTCCGTTGTAGAACCTTGTTGATCAATAGGCTCTGGTGTGTAGTCTTAGGCAAAGGGCATAGTGTTCGCGATTTCATCGCCGAGGATTTCGATGGTTTGTGCGATGGAAACGCGACCACGAAGTCGTCCGTCGCGCGTGCATGGACATAGTGCTCGCGATTTTCATTCTTTGCACACACAGGACAGGGTACGCAAACTGAGCAGCCTGTTCCCGTGCGATATGCCTTATTCCACTCTACTCTCAGCACAGAGCCCTCATGCCGACGTGATGAAATCGAGTACAAAGAATTCCCACATTTTGCCCACCTTTCAACATCCAATCTTCACGAGCCTCCCAACTCTTAGCATAGTAAATCTCACCTGGGGACGTCGGCTTTTGCAAGCCAACAGCTACTATTAAGACACTCTTTATCAAATTTTTAAGTGGAGCAAGCTAGTACGTGGATTTTGTAGTGCTTTGGCAAAGACCCACATTAAACGCCTCTTCAAAAAGTCAAGCACAGCATCACTGCGAAGATAGCGAAAACACAAGCAGAACCGTTTGGTGTTGGTGCACTATTAAGGACGAGAATTCTCCTGTAGTCATACGGATAGCAAAACGTAAGAATATGAACAAGCTAATAATGTGTATTGATTTTGCGGAAAGCAAAGACTGTAACACAAAAATCACCCAGAAAACAATTTTGAGAAACAAGTCTCCGACAATTTAAGGTTTGGAAAAGGCGTCGAAATGAGAAGTATCTTTGTACAACTACTTCAAATAAGTTCCATTTCTTTTTCAAATAAAAATCACTGAAACATCAGCGCCTGTCCATAAAAATTCCTCAAGATCTCCCTCGCACCTCAGCGATATCGCCAATAGCCCGTGCACACGCGCGACGTGACATCGCTGGGTTTTGCCGAACTCGCGGCGATTATAGCTGCAGAACTATGCCCTAGCCTTCCTGAATGACTTACTGAATGTGTCTGCTGAAGAGACACCGAAGTGTATATACCGACTAAAACATACACTAGACGGATGCACTGTGATGTATGGACTGTGTAACTGATCTATCTGCAAGCTTTAATTTTATCTGATGGTTAAAATAAAATCTTCCTCTGCCGGTTATGGTTCCCATCCATTCTGTTTCTATAGTACGCGCTTAATGCTCATCCCAAACTGTCTATTAGATTGTCCCATGAGGGTTGTTTCAAACTGCCGCACTGACCGCAGCTGACTGCAGCAGATCGCAGCTGACTGCAGCTGACCGCACTGACCGCAACGGCCGCACAGATCGCTGCATTCTGTTGTTAAGGAGGGATAAATAGTTGTAGCCCAACAATCAACAACAGTATATGCCCAGACCCAAAAAACAACACGAGCGAGAGTATTACAAAACATTTATATGCAATAATAGGAGAAATCAGAACAAATATGAGCATAACAAAGAAAAACAGTCGCAAAAATTTGATTGAGAAGAGTAAATCAGAACCTATGAACTTCCTGTTCGTAACCACGGTGTTTTGGCTTAATCGCAATTGTTTTCTCTTTTACGAGAAGATGTAGCGATCTGTGCAGCCGTTGCGGTCAGCGCGGTCAGCTGCAGTCTGCTGCTGTCAGTGTGGTCAGCTGCAGTCTGCTGCAGTCTGCTGCGGTCAGTACGGCAGTATGAAACAACCTTAAGTCTTCTCATTTTTGAATTTCGCTGTAATAAGTATAACATTCCTCATTCTAAATAAACATCAGGATACCATTCTATAGAGCAAAGCAAGCTCTATAAGATAGCGTTTATGCTTTTGCCCCGCTTCAATCCACCTAAAGTTTGAAACCAAAATCCAAAAGGTTTTGGGTGCTTAGGTTAAAATCTTTTACATCTTAATTCAGAAAAGTCCTACAGATCTCTCACTTGCTCACTTATATACACTCCACATCAGACGTTCATATGTGCTGCTGCTGTCTTTTTTTATTAGCTAGAAATCAAAAAACCGAAAATTTCCATGTTCTTACCAAAGCGATGCTGTCCTCTTCTTATACTAGCAGTTGTATACCACAAGCCCCAGAAGTATAACTGTAAATTTTCGGCTCTCTATAAGCTTTAGTTCTTGGAAAATATCAAATTTAGCTTTCCTCACTCGGGTTTTTCACGCTTAACATTTCTCGGAAACAAGAGCTTACAGAGAGCTGAAAATTTACGATTGTATTTCTAAGGGCTTGTAGTTTACAACTGTTAGTTTAGGAAGAGCACAGCATAATTTTGGTAAAAACATGGAAATTTTCGGTTCCTTGATTTCTAGCGGAAAAACAGCAACAGCACATATGTGTCTGATGTGCAGTGTATATACGTGAGCGAGTGAGAGATCTGTAGGACTTTTTTGAATGAAGATATAAAAAATGTTCAGTTTTCTGGGCATCCGAAACTTTTTAGATTATGGTCCCAAATTTGAGGTGGATCGAAGCTGGTGCAAAAGCATAATCTCCGCCTTATAGAGCTTGCTTTGCTCTGTCGAATGGTATCTTGACCTCTATCTAGAATAGGAAGTGTGTGGCTTATTATAACAAGAACCCAAAAATGAAAAGACTTATGGGACAACCTAATTATTAGTTCGACCGAGACTCGCCTAACTCTCAACTTAAACTCCAAGAAAATCAGAGCGAAACAACACTTTTATTTGAAAGTAAAGAGATCAATTTAGACGCAGAAACAAAGCGATGACTGCCAACAAATTACAACTACAACTAAATCAAATCCCGCTCTATAAGCTCCAGAAGTTCATGAAAATGAAGACATCGGCGCTCTGTCAAAATTCAATGGGATACAGTCGAGATCTAAAAAATGTCATTCACAAGCCATGTTGAACGTTTGAATTGCCGAGAAAACAGGAATTGGACTGCTCCGTTGTTTAGCACATACATTTACGCTTCGTCTCCGTCATCACCTTCGTCCTTCGCCACACCTGTTTTCAGTTAAGTAAAGTTATCGGTAGATTTCGATCATACGTTTTTGATGGTGTTTCTGGTATAGGTGTCATTGTGGACAATAGATGGATAAGTGAGGATAGCAGTAAAATTGAAAGCATACTGAAACGGAAGCAGAGGAGCGAAATTACAAAAAATAGTATGGGCGCGAGTCAAAAGAAAAGCTAAAAGGCAGCTCAGTTGTCATCACAAAGTAATACCTATGACATCCAGCGTTAGCTCAACATTTGCCTCTCCAGCATCATTCGTGATAGTGCAAGCATAGGTTCCTGAGTCCCTCACTTTATGATTCTAAAAATTAGTTTCAATTTTGTTTTCGATGCCAGGGGTCATCACAAACTTTGACTAAAAGCTGAGTAGTGAAGATCTTTGGTCCATCTGGACAAGTGTAGAAATAAATTCGAGAGGTATTCACAATTTCCTTTCCTTTGGGATTGAACCACATCACCTGTGAAAAAACAATTGACTCTCAATGTGATGAACAAAATCTCGACCTTCGGATCTTGATCGGCCTGGAAACCAATATCGAAGAGTATAGCTGGGTCACCAGTATCAGATGTGATTGGAAGAATCAGGGGCTTTCGCGTGAAAGCAGGTGCTCCTTGCGGTACTAAAGTGTAAATTACAATCTTCTTACATCTGTGAAGTAGGAAGCAACTAACCCTCAAACTTCACAGTGAAAGTTGCGGTCAATTTTCCCGAGCCATTCCTGGCCGTGCAAATAAACTGACCGGCATCCTTCTCTTTTGTTGGCTTCTGCAGATCTCAGCATTGTTATTCGTTGTAAATCCTGACAGGCAGAGCTACGCACCTTGATTTCCAAAGCAGCATAATAAATGTCATTAGCTTCCTGTCTAAGAACTATGTTCACTCTATCCGACTGCGCAACAATCTCATCACCCTGAGATCATTCGTTTCTCACTGCGTGACAAAACATTCATGCACGATAAGAGCAAAAGAACCTTGTGCCAAGCGAAGGTGGGCTTGAGAATCGACTTAGCGCGGAACTCCATGACCATCACTTGGCCATCATCGCGCGACTTTATCTGCGGATTGTCCACGAAAGTAGGAGAACAGAACTCTGCAATCAAAAAATATATGGATAACTTATGACAACCACTAGTGAGCCAATACGATCCTACTGCCAGATGTTCTGGTACTGATATCTTATTTTCAATAGCGTTGCGCTATATGTAGGGTGCAGCTATATAGTCGAGTAGATTTTTCGCTTAATAAAGCGAAATAAGAAATAAGAAAGGGAAAGTAAGAAATAGCTACGCCTGTGGCGCCGGCAATTTGCGAGCGCGCAAAATGTTGGCATTACTGGCGTGGCTGCTTGTTCACGCGCAAATTTCACCGCTTTTTACCTTCAGTGCAAGCAAACCATATTAAGCGGGAAATCTAATCGGCTTTACCTATCCCGTGACCCGGCTAACTGCACTGCGCGCACGGGAAGTAAAGACCCGAAAACATAAATTCAGGCAGGGATTATATATCATACTTGGTTTATTACCAACGACAACTTCAACATTCGCCCTAGCTTTCTTCTTGATGCAACATCGACAGCAGTTCCCTAGCAAGAAATTTAGCGAATCGAAGAGGATATTCGAATTGAAAGAATCACAGGACTTATAATTGCATATTCAATGCAAACTGTTACAGCGGACGTACCCGCGAGCGCAGTGAGGTCTGCATTTTCTTTTCCGTGTGGGTTGATGACAGCACATTGAGAGCCTCCGGCATCGCTGTCGGCAAGGTCCTGCAAATTTTCTATGAGATTAGAAGAAATACGTTCACTTTACAAACTCTACCCCTGCTAAAACTGTCACAGAGATAGAAAGCCATATTTCTCATCTTACTTCAGACTCAGGATGCGCACCACTATACCAGCGTAATTCTAGTAGGAAAGATATGCAAGAAAAAAAGACGAAGAAAGGTTGTCTGCAAAAGTTTGCGCTTGCTAGCCATAACACTCTATTGCGATAGTACAGTCCATTGCACTATCCAGTATCAATCCCACGGCTAAAACTTAAAGGCACCGTCCACCCAAAATGGAGGTTGGCGAGATTATGATGGCATACTAGTGTGGGCCCCCATACTAGACAAACCCCCAAGTTTCGCCGCAAAAGACTGCTTCTGAAGCGAGAAATCCGCTCCGGAAGTAACAAAAGTGGGCGGGGCGCCCCCGGTCTCCCCGCCCACTTGCATGTTATCTCGCCTGCACTTGTTGCAGAGGGTTCTCGAAACAAAGATTTTTGGGGGTTTCGCGAATTTTCGACTCCATATTCGGAATCAGGCCTTTCAGAAAGCCTGAAGGCGACAAAAACATTGAATTCGGGTTGGGTGGACCGCCGGGGGCGCCCCGCCCACTTTGTTACTTCCGGAGCGGATTTCTCGCTTCAGAAGCAGTCTTTTGCGGCGAAGCTTGGAGGTTTGTCTAGTATGAGGGCCCACACTAGTATGCCATCATAATCTCACCAACCTCCATTTTGGGTGGACGGTGCCTTTAAAGGGAAAGCTGCTGGTGTATTCTCAACATCACAGTGTGTTGAGAATCTCTCAATTTTTGAAAATGACGTTGTTGATGATTTCTGTTTCATCAACCATTGATGAACTCTATATTCTAGATAGCCTACAGAATACCCGTAGGCTGAATTGTGAGCTACTCACTCTTAAGTATCTAATCACTTAGAGGCACCGTCCACCCAGATTTTCGACTTCCACGTTTTTGTCGTTCCAGGGCCTTCTCATGTTCCTGATTCTGAATATGAAGTCGAAAATGTGCGAAAACCCCGACAATCTCCCTTCCGGAGAACCCACAGGCCGGCTTTCCGAAACGGTGATTGGATGGGCGCGCACAAGTGGGCGGGCATGGATGGGGGAGGGCGGGCGTGGATGAAGGTCCTCGTGCATCTTCGCTATTTTGAAGCGATTTTCTCGCTTCCGAAGCGGCACTTTGCGCCGCGACTTGGGCAGTGGATTGTTAGGGGGCCCTACTATTATATGCTACCAAAAGCTCAACACCCTTCTTAGGGTGGACGGTGCCTTTAAGAGTGAGTGGTACCCGTGCGCCAGAAGTGTAGCCAATCGGCGGCATCTCCTTTCAAGCACCAACTCGTGTACACTGTACCCTATACTCGGTTCAGCTCCGCCTTCCTTCGTATATAAGGAGCCACCGAATGTATTAGAGGTTGCTCCCCGGTCCACACCGGGACACCTCAAACCTCTTCTCGAATAATCTACGCCCGTGCGAATAAACCTTATTCCACAACTCGTCTACCCCCTAATCACTTAGTACTCACCAAATTGGTGCATCGGCCAGTGACTTTCCTTGTATTTCCTCGTCGATTCCTTCTAAGGACCCAGGAAATCAAGGCCTAAGACACGCGTGGCAGGCTCTATAGCCAATTATTCGACTCTCGTGATTGCTGGTTCATCCACTTTCGCGACAAGAGTCTTACTAAGCTCTCAGGCCCTATCCACAGCTCAGTAGAGGTTTCTAGCTAACTGACTGGTCCATCCACAGTTATCGACAGACTCCTCGCACTCTAGGCTACTAATTAGCCAATATTCGACTCTAGTAATTGCTGGTTCATCCACTTTTGCTAATACGAGTCTTGCTAAGCTATCAGGTCCTATCCATAGCTTAGCAGAGGTTTTTCTACCTGACTGACTGGTCCATCCACAGTTAGCAACAGAAATCCTCGAACTTTTTTGGCTTCCATTAGCCAAAAGCACTCTGTGATTGCTGGTCCATCCACTTTCACAGCAAGAGTCATCCTGCGAAGCTATCAGGTCATATCCATAGCTTAGCAAGGAGAATTTCTAGCTGACTGACTGGTCCATCCACAGTTAGCAACAGAAATCCTCGAACTTTTTTGGCTTCCTTTAGCCAAAAGCACTCTGTGATTGCTGGTTCATCCACTTTCACAAACGAGTTTCATCTTGCGAAGCTATCAGGTCATATCCATAGCTTAGCAAGGAGAATTTCTAGCTGACTGACTGGTCCATCCACAGTTAGCAAAGAAATCTCAACTTCCCAAGCTCATTCACGGTTGGTTCACCGATCTTGAGCTTTGGATCGTTACATTCACGGGACAAGTTCCAACAACTTACCGTCCAGTACAGCGCAAAAGCCAACCAGGAGCGCTTGCTGACAGCTTGTAGACGCTCGGCACTCCATTGCCAGCTCACTAGAAAGCTTCCTTTCAACCCGTAAGGGCAGCTATCGTATCGAGGCCAGCCCTGCTGTCGCCCTCAAGCCAAAGCGATCAACAAAAGGAGGATACACACGTCCGAATTGGAACGCTTGGAATCACTACACCTGTGCACGACCCTACCCCGTGCAGTAAAACAGAAAATGGCAGCGCTACAGATTTAAATCAACAATGCCTGCGCACTTGTGAAGTCATACGAATCGGAAGTGAACGAAATCAACACACCATTCACTTTCCCTGTAGAAAGAACTGAATGCGAGACGTACATCAAAACCAAAATGGGAGAGATAACGCATCTGCTCAACTCTCTGCAGAATGCGGTTAGCCTTCAAGACACACAAGCGAACGCCGCGATTGAATACATTGGGGCAAGAAATGAAGAAAAAGAAAGAGACAAGCTGATGACAGAAGTCAGCAAACACTTGGAGTTGGAATCTCTCCATCTGGAAGTCATGGTCGTGCAGTGACAGAACAAAGTTCAATTTCGTCAAAACGAATTGAAGGATCAAGCTGCATTACTGCACATCAGTCCGCCAAACATCAAGCCATGCTGCCAGCGACGAAGGCCAGACCTGGAACGGCAGCCTCCCAGAACGCAACGAAAGGCAAATGAAAATCCGAAAACCTCTGCTTGAAATCCCTACCTTCTCAGAAAACTCTAGAGAGTTCAACAGCTTCTGGACAGTGTTTGAATCTCTCATCCACAACGACGAAGACCTATCCGACACTAACAAATTCCTCTTTCTGAAGCAAGCACTGAATGGGAAAGCAGCAGCCACATTGAGCTGCATACCCGTCATCGGAGACAGATATCAGACAGCGATAGATATCTTGAAGAAACATTTTGATGGCTCTGCCAACATGGCAGATATACTTATAAACGAGATCGAAAAACTACCCAGGGCCTCAAATGATCTGAGAAGTTGCCGAGACACTTTCGAAGCAATCAACTCAAGGATCATTCACCTGGAGCAGACGGAGCAAAGATGAACGCAGACAGACTTTGGCGAATAATCTTTTCCAAATTTCCCGAATCCATCTGTACGACCGCCATCCAAAAAGAAGCGGTACAAGATGATCTACCCTATTTTCCGGAGTATAAGCCGCATTTCTTTTCACCGCGCGCGGGCTGAAATGCGATGTCGTTCGCGATGCGCGAAGCCGCATACGCAGCAACCACTATCTATTTCGCCTGGTAATCTAATACGGGCTTTCTGCTTTCGTTCTTTATTTGGTTTCTTCGCAAGTGTATTTGTAACAAAATTGTCTACCTTCTCATTTCTTCTTCAAGAATTCGCTGAACAATAAAAGAACGTTCGATTACCAGTACTAACATGGAATCGAAAGGCGATAAGCTCTAACGGATTAATCAAAGTAAAAAAAGGCACAACTTCAGCACCAGTAACATCATTGAAAAAAGGAAACAGTTAACCAGTAGTATCATTTAGGAAAGAAAACACGACCTAAACACCCGTCAAGTCATATGAAACAAGAAAAAAAGTGAAGACATGACTATTCGTACTAGAGCGCACCGAGTTTTCAATTTGCTATATATCTCTTTCCCAAGGCGCTTTCGCGCCATTGTTCGCTGCGGCGGGTTCGGCTTATATAACGTGCGGCTTATACTCCGGAAATTAGGGTATTTGATGTTAGTGAAATCCTGAACACCATCGAAGCATCATTTTACAGCGAGAGACAATCTTGCTAACAACGAAAACTCTCTTTCCATCCAACTACCACCCAGACAACCAAGAAGATGAAAGGACTACCAGATGCGATAGAGAAAAACACTTTTCGAAACCAAAACACTTGTGTTTATGTGGACAACCACATTCTCCTCACACTTGTCAGAGGTACACCACACCAGAAGCCCGACGACTTGAAGCAGTAAATCAAGGAGTGTTGTGTTGGAGATGTTTTGCAAGCGATCACAACTCTAACGCTTGCACGAATTTCGGTGTGTGCCCCAAATGCAAAGGATCACACCATGGATCTCTTTGCTTGTCAAAAGCAGGAAAACGCAGAGGATTCTCGACCAGAGGTGCGATGGGGGGAGCCGGGCCCAGCAAAAGTGAAGGTGGTCCCAGCTACCACTGGCCGGCCAAAAGTGAAGGTGGTAGTGTCGGACACTCACCTCCCAAAAACGTCGACGGTGGGAGAGGGTAGAAACGAAGAACAGAGCTATCTTTCTGGGTCGAACTGTGACCCAACGGCCCTCTTTAGGGCCAGAGATACCATGAATATCAAAAATATTTATAAATTTTATTTATAAAAATTTAAAATAGACGTGTTTAGTAAGTAGTGTATTTGGAATTAGAAGTTTGTTGGACTGTACGGATTTCATTAAGTAAATTTTGTCATAACATTTACGAAGGAAGTAGATCGATCTAGGCAGTAACGGCCGAGAACCAGAATTTTGAATATTTAAATAGTGAAAATTCATGCGAAATTTCCACTGTTATAAATCTGTTGTTTGAAGATGTCAGCAGTTGCGACTTCATAGGTTTTAAAGAGTAAATGGTGGTCTATCAGATAGTGAAAA